ACACTGTATTCAGGGATAAGTATGATTCTTCTTCCAGTGCCGGACCTCCTTCCCAAATACATGTTTTTTACTCTTTCCTCCTTTGGAGCAAAAATAACTGCCATTGTGCAAGGTACCTCCTTTGAAGAGCATGAAACTTCTCTGTAGATGTTCTTTTCTTTGTGATACTTCTTTCAAAGAAAAGCTTATGCAATTTTGGGAGATGGGGAATGGTAACAGGTAAAGGCAAAAGAGAGAGAGAGAGAGAGAGAGCAAAATATAGAGACAGTTTTACGTGTGTATGGGTGCTTAACTGTAGTACTGTAACCTGTGTTAGCACATAACTTCATAAACTGGGATATTTTTATTCTTGCAGGACTCTGCAAGATGTAGGAGGTAGTCTGAAATAATCCTCATTTTTCAGACTCAGCTCAAAAGTCTCCCAGCAATGTAGAGAAACCTGTGTTTTTCTGCTCAGAGAAAGGGGGAAGCAAAATGGGTTGCAGGGAAGAGGTGGGGTGAATGAAAGGAGTTTAGGGGAACTAGACAGGCCCAAGAGAGGATGGGGAGAGTTGTAGGGAAGGGGTAGGGATGGGAGTAGGAGCATCTTCCTTCGTGCCTCTAAGTCTGCCTTGCCAAACCACCCAGTCTTCTGAGCTTGGGATTTGGAAGCACCTTTCTTCTTCTCTAGTGAAGTGATGTTTTTAAGGAAGGTGAAATAACTGGTTCTTTACACATAAATACTCAAGAACAAAAACAGTCACTTCTGTAAACCAGTGAATTAATGCTATGCCTTTTTTTTTCCCTCAAAAGGATCATTTCTTGAGAAAGACATTTTAATGTAATTATAAGCTATCAAGAAATGGGAAAGAATTTTGCATTTTGTATGTGGGCCTGAATAAATAGATCCATTGAGAGACAGACAGAGCAAGTCGCTTGGAATGCACCAGTCAACAGCAGAAATGTAAACATACTCCAGCTACGCTGTCTGCACTTGTATTTCAGCGTGTTGCAGAACAAAACTGCTATTAATGCAGGCTGGCTGCTGCTTTTTTTTTTTGTGAGTTCCTTACAAGATCCAGTTTAATTCACAGACCATGGGTCAGAACCACATTGTGTCTGACACTGGAAACCCAGGAAGGCAGGAACTTGCTGCAAAGGAGTCTCTGGGCTGTCTTAAAATGAGATGTGTGAAGTTCATTTGCAGAGCTGAGTAGGTTTAGATTAACAGCAAGTGGATAAAATGCTGAGGCCAACAGATCTTTGTCTCTGTATTCCAACGTGTTCATGCGACCTTATCTCATAGATAGGTAGATCTACCATGTGTTTATCTTCATCCGGTACCAGTCCTAATGAAGTAGCATCCACTAAGACTGTTGCTTCATGAATTGTGATAATTATGGAAAGCCACTATCAGAATCTGTTAGAACCTTAGCCTTTAAAAAGTAGCGGGTTACTGGAAAAAAATTGTGTAAAAATAAAACACAATTCAATTGGTTGTGCTCAAACTAGACTTACTCTGGCAGCTGTAAGGGAGCAGTATTAATTAGTTTGTGGTTAAAAACAAAGTAACTTCCTCATCATATCTCTTGATGGTTTTTTGTTTGGTGTTTTTTTGTCGTCTTGATAAAATGAATGTCACCAAACCTGATAGTGTGATGTTATAGTTATTTTTATTCCTGGGTATAAAAATGTGTTTTATTTGTGAGAGCTGTATAACAGTGATACCAAGAAGGAAAGCTTAATCATAAACAGAGGTATGCAAGATCTATGCTCCAAGAGGCTCAGCTGGAAAGCAGGTCTGACGTGCAGGAGTCTTTAGCTTGTGCTGGTGAAATCTCTTGGCAAATAGAATGTCTTTGACTGTAAAAGGCTTCTTATGGCATTTTTTGTCTTACACATTTTCTTTTGATTGGGCTTTGAGGGACCTCGAAAAGCAGCAATAGATACTGAGCTGCATGCTGAAATTCCCTTGCCTAATTTTCTCCATTTTACATGTTTCCGTGCATCTTTTACAGGTCCTTCTTATTTGACGTTGAGGAAGTCACTTCTTTCTTCAGCTGCAGGTTTATTGTAGGGTCAAAGGAATTATTAAAGCTTCTTGCCCTGTCTCATGATTGTGAGGTACTGCAAATATGTTCCTTTGGCACGACAGAGACGTAGTACAGCATAGTCAAATCAAACTCTGAGCAATAGCTTCCTTACGTGTTTAAAAATAAAAGAGAAATATCAGCTTCGTAAGGCAGATGAACCTTAATTGCTGAATGTTTATAGAAGGTTTTGAGATGGTCAGAGGCAAGGTCCTGTGCAAATGCAGTATTTTATTAAAATATTTAGTAAGCAGATTCTTTGACCCAATAGAGGGAACAAAGATGCCTGTCCACTCTTAATTTTCCCTACCCATAATTATTTCTACAGAACATAAATTACATATTGTACAGCTTTATTCTGTTTTCAGAGGATAATTATACTAGAAATTCCAGCCTTCTTTCTGTGGAGGGACCTCTTTCTCAGAAACCACACCTTGTAGCAGTCTGTTTTTCATTTGAGAAGGGTTGAATTCCCATTTACGTCAACAAGTTTTTATGGATTGACTACTTTCAAAAGATGGGTGCAGGTAAAATAGGAAGCCCTTATTCACAAATCTTAATAATTCGGTCTGGAAGATGTATTGGAAGCTGATGTTATATAGGAATGGAAGCTCTTTTGCATGTGAAACCTGGTAGAAATTATTCCTAATTTCATGCCTGCTATTGTAACCGAGAGAGGAGCCTGTAATTCCCGTTGTAGTCATCTGAGTGTCTCCAGTGGTATTTCCATGCTGAGGGGGAACTTGGACGTGGTGCAAATGAGGGAAGGCAGGATGCAAAACGGACAGTACCGTTTGCTCTCTGTATGAGATCGGAGGCTTTTATGGATATATTTATATAAGCATTTAAGGAGTTTAATAAACTGAAAGCCATGGTCTTAATGTAAGGTTCACAACCCACTTGTAACATACCAGGAGGGACAAGTCTTTCATTCTCCAACATTAAAGATGGATGGTCCCAGTATACTTTCAATTTCCTAAGAGCAAACTACTGTTTCAGAAATGTTCCAATTTAGTAATAATCTAATAGTCATGCTTCACTGTTTTTAACATCCACAAGTGGCAAAATTATATTCCCGTGTAAGTAATTTTAGTAGGGGGGTAGCAGCAAGGAAACTGAACTCTGGTTAAAAAAAAATCCTGTTCAAGTCTTACTTCTGCTGGAAAAGTTTGTTTGGTTTTTTTATGTAGTGTGGTATACTCAAGGCTTTTTTTTTTTTCTTCATCATTGCATATGCAAAATCCAGACCTGCAGAACTGTTCCATGTGGTGAACAGTCTGCTGAAAAAAAATTTCCATATACCTCATTATGAGTTTGGGTTTTTTTGATTTATGTAGGCTCTGTTCTTTCAAAGGGATGTACGACTGTAGACCTTTATACCTACCAAAGTGATATCTTATCAAGTACTGAGGAAAATACAAGGGCAGGTCCCACTGGAGAATAAGAGCCTTATTTTGCAGAGAGGAACTTTCTTTCCAGCCAGTTTAATCTTTCATGGAAACAGCATGTAAACAGGAGGCCACAAAGTAACTTAGCTTTTGAAGCTTTTTAATTGTACCCAACAAGGTTCTGGATGTTTAGTGAATGATGTAAGCCACAGTGTGTAACGCAAATTCATATCCCTTTTGATTGGTAAAAGGTCAGTACTGCTAAAAGAAAGTAGCATGGACTTCAGCTGGTTGTTGCCTTATACAACCTGATTTAAATAAAAAGTGCTAGATCTTTCCACACCAAAGAAGCCATTATCCTTGGCAATAGCAGGCGTGCTTCAGTCTTCTGTCCTATGATAAAGGCAATTGATTAAGGTGCCTAAATACATCTCTGAAGTTACCTTATTTCTGTGGATTCCTACCATTCATATTTCCAGTCTGTGCATGGACAGAGTTAGTATCTTTGTTCATATTATTTCCTTCTAGGGGATGAACAAAATCACAGAATCAGGGAATATAATCATAATACAATGTAGGCTGCAGAGAACCTCTGGAGGTTATCTGGCCAAGCGCCTCCTCAGAACAGGGCCAGCTTAGATCAGCATGCTCATGGCAGTTGTTCAGCTGAGCTTCGAGCACCTCCGAGGACCAAGATTCCCCAGCCCCTCTGGGCCTGTCTTCCAGTATTTGATTACTCTCATTGTGAAAACGTTTTTCCTAATAGCTAACCAGAACTTCCTTTGTTGCAACATGTCTGCATTGCCTTTCATCCTGTCACCATGCACTTTGGAGAAGACTCTGGCTCCATCTTCTCAATATTTTTCCATTAGATAATTGAAGGCAACAATATGCCTTCAAAACCAATATGCCTTCAACTCTCATCTTCAATATCCCCCCCTCTCCAGTGTTCTCTTAAGACTGAACAAACCCATTTCTTTCAGCATCCCCCTTCACATCATGTACCTAATAATCCTTCTGGCCCACTGCCGCCTTGATCTAGTAGGTTAACATCTGTGTTGTATTGGGAGGCCCAAACTGGAGTAGATGGCATGATTGACATTTGCATCTGGCCATCTATTACTCCTCAGTCCAAATTATTTTGCTTATTCTTAGCTGGTTTTACTGAAGGTGGCTTTTTGAATAATTCAAGACTCAGAGTCCTCTCCTCCCACAAGAGCAAGATATCTTAACTACAATGCTGCACATCTTATTGATGAGGGCTAAGAAACAGAACTGTTTACAACGAAAAAGCTATTTCCTGAGAGAATGCTTTGCATTAGTGATACTCTTGATTAAAGTAGTTTAATTACAGTGGGTCATGGTATAACCTGTTTTTATAGATGGTATCGCTCAATACTTTTTATATCGCCACAGCATAAAATACACTTCCTCATTATGGCCCTCTGACTTTAAGAATAGGGAGAGAGGACAGTGTAGAAATCGCTTTCAAATCCCAGGGACTGTACATGTAATGTACTGTTAAATTAACTTCTGTTTCTAGTGCGCTTGGAGGATCATCTGCCCTTCACATCCCAGCCTTTCCTGGTGGAGGTTGTCTTATTGACTATGTACCCCAAGTATGCCAGCTGCTAACAAACAAGGTAAGTTAGTAGAGAGAACTCAGTTTTTCTTTCCCATATGTGCTGTACTGTATTGCAGTAACGCACTATAGCATTTCCATAGGCATAGTTTTTCTTTTGCCAGGTAGTCCAAGCAGGGCATACTTAAGGTGAACTACACAAAGAATGCCTTCTTGATAAAAGTTGAGCACCTATGCAGGGCATTGAATATAATGACTCTTTTAGGTAAACAGGGATGTTTGGGATCAGATCCCAGAGTGGATTTTTCTTATTGTGACATGTTACGATTTAGGATAAAATGTTGTATTGTACAACACTGTATTGTAGCATACTGTTTTGCTAGTAAATACAAATGTGAGGTTTGCATATTATTTTTCCAGTTGGAAGATATCTAAGTTCTCATACGATAGTCATCATTGTAGGTTTTGAGTACTTTCAGTGATTTTCTTCTCAGATGTTTCATCCAAATGAACTGAATCAGCAGTCTACTTAGATGTTTATACAGTAATAGCTACTTAAGGTTGCTGAAAAGGTTGTGTTCCGGTTAGCTTTCTTAAACAAAAAAGAGTGAGTATAGTATTTTGAAAGCTTCTCCATTATTGAAGTGTAATTTTCAAAAGAAAGCTTAGGGGCCAACATCTAGGAATCTGCCTATTACAGACCTCCTATTTGTATTTGTATATTATTTTTACCTTCATTTGTCCAAATGAGGAAAATAATTTTCTCTTTTAGAAAAAGTTCTTCAAAATGTGTTTCCATAATTATATTGGAATCTATCTTTAAAGTTGTTTTTATTGTGGTTTTCCGTTAAAATTACTTTCTGTTTTTAAAATCTACAAGTACACAGGACTGTTTTTATCCTTTCTTAAACAAAGTCCCTTAAGCAAACTTATCATATGTTTTCCTTTTCCCAAAATAACATTTCAGATCCCACACAAAGCCTTCAGAATAATTGTAGGTTTTTTATAAAATGAAATAAGTCTCAATTTATAAATAGAATTTAACTTTAAGGGGTACAAGATAGCTCTCAGCAATGATTGCATCAAGGCTTTTTCAAAAAATTTAGGAAAGCATTTGCCAGCCAAGGAATTCTAGTATTATCATAGCCAAGAAAAATATTCTTCCTGTTCTTTTTGTGTTCAGCGGGGGAAAAAGGTTTTTAAAATGTTAGTTCTCATTCTGGAAGGCAAAGGGATTTACATAGGGAATCACATATGGAACCATACCGAAGTAACCAGTTGTAAACCAGATGCTCTTGCAGCCTGACAACACATGCATTGTTTCTGTTACGGGTCAAACCCTGTTCACACTGTTCTGCTAAGTAATCCCATTCAAATCAATAAGAAAACATACATGGTGAGAGGAGCATTTTGCCTTAGGTCTTCCAAGTTTAGCATTGTTGGATTTTGTCTGTGCCAGGATGGAAGTCCTTCAAAACCCAGAATGCCTCAGAAATTGATGCTCACAGTTGAGTAGGTGGCTCCCTGAGTCAGCACAAAACCACTGAGAGAGCTTAGTGTTAAGAAGATTCTGTTGGAGGTGCAGTCTTCAGAAAACACCCAAGATCACTTGTGAAATATTTTTTTTTTTTCTTTTATAACCAGAATGTTATTTTGACACTTAACCAACTGTCAGTTCAGGTAATTATGATTTGCCTATTGCAGCTTCCTGCTCAAATTTCAGCAAGGCAAGGTCGCTCATTTCTTTTCTTCATTCTTTATGTTGCGTAGTTAAACAGGGCTTCAGTATATTGTGAAATACTAAGTTTCACTTAGAAGTGAGTGAAGAGATTTCCTTACAAGATTTTCGGTGTGCAAGATCCACTGTTTGTTTTAAAGGAGTTTTAGGATTCTTTAGGGAAATCATGCAAGCTAAATGTAGGATTCAGAACTACTACCATGTCAAATGTAAATCTTCCTTAACAAGGAATGTATGACAAATTGGGATCATTGGCTTTTTTTATCTTTCTGTAGCTTTGGATTTGTTTGCTTCTTTTTTAAGGTACAATATGTTATTCAGGGATACCATAAGAGAAGAGAGTATATCGCAGCTTTCCTGAGTCACTTTGGAACGTAAGTTTTCTTTTGATGCATTATTTTCTGTAGCATGGGGGGAAGTGTTGTTTTCTGCACATGGTCCTTGGTTGTGTGACTGCTGTCCACTGGATAAGATGGAATCTGCTCACTTTTCACAGAATGATGTGTATAGATTGTCTCTTTGTAGCAGTACTGGAATGAAGTTCAGTGTTACTTCACTTCTGTGCCAGTTGCCAATCTGATTTTGCTAGAAAATAGCTGGTTGTGGGAAAAGGACAGTAGGGGTTTTCTCCTCGTGCAAAAGAAATGTGCTCATTTCTGAATAAATGACTGGAGGGGTCTTACAGTAATAGGCAGTGACTGAGGTGGGAGGATGGGGAAGTGGGTATGGTTGCAAGCCTTGCAGGAGCCAGAAACCACTGCTCGGCGTAAAGGCAGGACTGGGAGACCAGCGGTCGAGCAGTATCTTGTCTCTCTCGAGAGAAAGGGTTGTTCGGTCCTGTTGAATTCCTGCAGTTCAAAGGTCGGTGGCCTGGCATGATGACACGTTAGCTTCACAAATCAACTAAACAGGGGTGCCTTGGCACTCTGAAGGGTAGGCACTTTGGTTTCCCACCTAAATCCTGACTTGAGCGAGAGTTCAGCAGCCGATGCGAGAGGGATTGCCTGACCAGTAGTGCTTTACCTCATTGTGAGGAGGGGGTTTCTGCTTCCGAGTGGTGATGCCAAATGACATGGATATTTGGGAGCCCTTCAAATCTCAGGTCTCTCAAGTGATGGTAGGAAGACAGGTGGCTTCTAGCATGCACCCGAATTTCATACAACTATAGATAGATAATAATGATTTGAACTAGACATATGAGTAGATAAGAGAGTCGATGCAAGCTCAATCCTTATGAAAACAAGATATTTCTTTTTCTTCTGAGAAGACTACAGTATAGAAATGGCCCAGGTGTGCCTATGATTTTATTTCATTTGTGAAGTGGTTCATGAGTCCTGATACTGCTTGAGACTCTTAGAGAGTACCGACTCCTGATGGTTGAAACTTTTAATCCATCTACTGAACAAGTCTTCTAATTTCATTTTTTGTATGCTCTTGTGCTTTGCCTTTTTTATATATACTCTTTTGAATTTTCAAATTTAAACTCTTCTCAGCCTGCACATTTTCAATTTTACCCTGTCACTTACTACAAAGTTAATAAATAATCTTAATCTGAGTAACATACAAGGAATTTGTGTGTATACAGTTTTTATCAATTTAGTACTGCAAATGCGTTAGCAGGTCTCCTTTCATTCTAAAGTGTATTTATCTAAACTGAATATGGCCTTTCTTCAGGTAGAAACTCCAATACCACAGCATAAATAAGAAGATTATTGAGATTAAAAGTTTAATCTAATTTTCATTTAGCTAGAAAATTGTAACTGTTAATAAATAAAGCAAATAGTGGAATGTTCTGAACAAACAAACAAAAAAAGCAATCCCTGTAATACAGAACGTACATATTTCTTGCTCAGTTTTAGAATGAATGGTAGGTAAAAATTGTATTCATTTTTTTGTATTTTTTGTTGATAGTGGTGTGGTGGAATATGATGCAGAAGGCTTCACAAAGCTTACTCTGTTGCTGATGTGGAAAGATTTTTGCTTCCTTGTTCACAGTGAGTAACACTTTGCCCCAGGCATAAATGTCTATGCTCTTGAAGATACAAGTTCAAAAGGGAAAAAATACAATTACAGGAAACAATTTAAAAGTTTTAGCTATTTTTATCCAGTGCTTAATGTATATTTCATGTGACCATGACACTTTGAAAACACAAATTCCTGATTATATTTGGAGAAGGGGAGAGGATCCACATCGATAGCGTACTGCCTGCTTTATAGAACACCAAAAGCGTCGTGGGAAGGTTTTCTGGTAATTCGACTCAAGATTGAGTTCACAGTTGTAACTCGTTCTTTCAAAAGTGTCTATAATGAGGACCAATACTATACACAACCTGGGAATACCTAAAATCTTCTGAAATTGTCAGGAATTAATGCATTCATAGTGATAGTGAAGACACTTTAATAAAAAAAATTCATTAAATGACAAATAACGCTATACTGTTGTTAGGAGCCAAAAGTTATTTCTAGACAGAAACTGTATAGGCAAAACTGTCTAACAGTTTGCTACAGTATGTAGCTAGATCTGCTGTCATTTGAAATTTTTAAATCAAGATTGCATTACTTTCAAAAATACATTCTTAATTAAATAAATATATAGGAATTACTTCATGTAGAAATTAGTAAGCATGGCTTTGTTACTACCTTATTCATGTTACCTTAAGTAGCAACTATTATTTTTCCCTATGGTGAGGTGAAATTCACAGGTATCAAAGATATTTTGGTCTGGGGAAATTCAGTCATGTTACCCTTTATTTTTTATTGTTACACTTCTCATCTTTGTTTAAAATAACTACAGTGCAACCTGGGCAGCTGCAACATTGGTGTTTGTTAACACTCTAGCGCTGGAGTATTTGAGATTACATCATTTTTTATTGTGGGCTAGCTTTTCATGTGGAAAACTAATGATGTCTTAATGACATCATAGAAATTTGTCCCAGAGTTTTTAAAGCAAGAAGTGGGGATTGCCATTGTTCAAAGAAGTCGTTCACCCTGTGTTGTATTGGAGATCATAAAGAATGGTCTCACTGATGCCTTTCTTTTTATCACTTAAGATTTCCAGACAGTAATGACCGTAAGAGGTCTGAAATTAAAAAACTTCCATTATATTAGTATGATTTATGTTGTGGAAAAGAAAGAAAACTGATTTTTTTTTTTAAAATTGTCCTTATTACATCTTTACTTACTCTCCAACTACAACTGAGAATTGGTCACTGGGCCATTGTCTTCCATGAGATGATACTTCTTTATGTACAACCTGCTTGAAGATTTCATTCCTTTCTTACTCCCCAATATGTTTGGCTTAATTTTATCGGTGTTAAAATTCCTGTGGATTTGATTTTTGCTAATCTAATCAGTTAGATTTCAGGGAAATCAAAATTCAAATTTCTGTTAAATAACAGAGTTGGTTTTAACTGTGTAATATTCAGAGTGCTCAATTTAACTGGCACAAAAGCTACAATTATAACGAATAGTTTATCACTATGTATTAACCCTGTGGCCTTAGAAATCATAGAGTGGCTTTGTAAGCCATTGCATCACCTACTTGTTGAACAATCCACTGCAAAAACATTTATGTTCCATGCACTGAAGGATATTGCAATGAAAGGACCGAAACCTGCACTTCATTTCCTGAGTGAAGTAATGCAGGCTTTCATCTCTTAACCACTGACATAACTATGTATATTATGGTTGAATATTTAGCAAGCGTCTGATAAAATGTCTGGGAGAGAGAGCCGTAAGTTGAAAACTGTTCTACTTTATATATTTACTATACTATGTAGAGAAAGTATTCAGAGGAGAATAAATAGGTCAGTATACAGCAAGCATCGTGGCAAATCAAATGAAAGGAACCAAATTCTACCTTAAAACACAGAAGAACTACCTAATTGGAAACGTAATCATTAGATTAATGCAGCTGCTGAAGTTATTATATTAGATCAAAGAGCAGTCAAAGGAACTGTTGCTTTAGTGGTTTAGTTTTAAGAATTAATCAGGTGCTTTCAAATGTATGACAGAAGAAATAAACATTCAGAGAAGTTCATACATCCACATGGAAGTGGAAATCATTAATCAGGCTTAGTGCTTTTGATATTGATACTGTTATGAGTAAGTCTCAGTATGAAGCTTTGTAAGTAAACTTCAATATACTGCTGATTTCTTTCTCTTCTTGTTTATAAATCAGCTATGATTAGTTTTTGGAGACAGATATTTCTTCATATGCTTGTTCCTGCACACATTCTGTGTGTTTACATCGTATATAAATGTAAACACAAGTTACATTATCTGTGCATAATTAAGAATTAAGTAGCCTTATTGGTATGGACACAGGAATAGGACTCCAAAGTGACCTGTATATAGGCTTTTCAAAGATAAATTTTTATCATACGAGATTTTTAGGTTATCAGCACAAAGGAGATTGACAGAAGATGGACCGATTGCAATAGCAAATGAAACACTGCTTGTGTTAGTGGTTATTTAAGACATTTTGAAAAGGACAGATATTAAACTAAAAAGGTTTTGTTTCATTGAACAATATTTTGGGGGATGGAGAATGTTGGAAGCTGCCAGCATTTATATCTTAAGTTTGTATGGGATCTCAGACTTAGGTGAAGTTGGTGGGAACACTTGCTGCCACTGACCTTGGCTAACTGTAAGGGATTTCAGGTTTTGTGTTGGGTAATGCCAGTGACCCAGGAGGTCCAAAGTGCTGGTCATGTAAAAGCTAAAGTTTAATTAACAAGCATTTTTCCTATGGGAGTGCCAACTGAAGTAGCTTTTTGTCCACTCTCTTACCTGTCTGTGCAATTATGTGGTTACCTCTGTCAGAGAATAGATCAGACATAGGCAGCATCTCAGCAAAAAGGAGGTTTTTACACAGGAAAGAAAAGCAAGCAAGGGGCCTAGAGCATTAATGGGGTTATAGGAGGTTATACTTATGAGTATCAGGCTTTGGGCGGACACCCGCTTCTGGATTCAGGGCTTTTTGGTGGAAGTCATCAATGCCAGCTTCTGATGCATTGGATATTGCTATCTGCGCACATTTGTCAGCACAGCAATTTGTGCCAACGCAGTCAACTTACGTGGTTTAAATTGATGGCCTGAGCTAAACAATTGGGGTTCGCTCACATAAACCTCTTTTGGATCTGGATTAGCACATCTGTCCACAGCCTCAGAAAGCAGCTTGTAAAATAAAGACACAAACAAAGAATTTTTGGTAGCCATGTTTGTCAGATGAGGCTTGGGTGAAGGGTAAAAAAAAAAAGAACATTTTGGGAAAGAGCATTAGTAGCTGGGAAGACAAGTTTACACTACTGTGCAAAGAAAGTACAGTTTATTCTAGTAGTGTTCAGAGAAAGAGGAATGTATGTCCACTCACTGTAAATAAACAAAATTGCGTTGAAGAAGTAATTCCTTCTATCAGTTCCCTTTCCAAGCAGAAATAACTCATTAGGCTTAGGTACTGTTTTAATCATTCAGAAGAGCAACAATAATCCTTAGAATTCAGGTAAATGTTAATTTTTCAGGCACCTGGTGTAGTTTAAGATGTTACCTGCCCTTTAAAGGAGATTGCCCCACCTCTGGAAAGTCAACAGAACAGAACTAACGAGCATTTGTCAGCCCCTTCATCTATTCCTCCAGCAGCTGTTTAAATAAACAGGTTAGACTTTGTGGTAGTAAATGGCTAGCAGGGAGGTTTGGTAAAGTCTTAAATGGAAGATTTTTCCTAGATGAACGTGTGTCTGATTGCTTAGTGTTTGCTATTTGGGTTTAGGAGAGCTTATGTGAAAAGGCAAAAGTATTTTCTTTCATCTAAGATTGTATTTATTGTTCTTTTTGAAATTGCTTCTGCATATTCCTATTTGAAAAATCACATGCCTACCACACTAACTCCACAGTCACTGAGATAATAAAAATGTTTGAGAAATAGTTTGTTTATCCGAGCAATTTAGAACCCAGAACATGCGACTGTTTCATGTAAACATTCCTGTAAATATTTCAGTAAACCTTTATCTGCCCGTACTTTCGGCCATAGAGCCCTCTCTGTTCTATAGGATCTATAGATCTTGTTAAATGTAAACGTGAGAAGTAGCTAGTGTTTGTTGTTTTGATACAGTATTTAATGCAGTTGGAATATGCTCAATGACTCCTGTGTGCTACTGGAGTATGAATAATCATTTGAGTGGGGTTGGTAGTTTTAGAGATATATTTTTTTCAGTTTTCTGTCACATAAGACTTGCTCACATGCCTTTTGGAAGCTGAAAAGAAGATAGTTTTCAAGAGTTGCTCTTCTTCATCAATATCAGTGCCTGGCAGTCATGACAATTAGCACGTAAAATTCCAGGAAAAAAAGCTTTGGAGGAAATTAAGATTGCATTGGCTCTACTTCTTCAGGGAAGTTAGTCTGATTATGAAAGAGAAGTCTCTTCAAGAAAAGGTATGGAAAAATAAACTGTTGTCTGGCCGAGTTGTTTCCTAAAAAAGGGCCAAGCATTGAGTGGAATATTTACATTAGATCACTTCTGTGAGCTTTTATCTGATGAGGTGTTTTGGCTTCCTTACCTAGTGCTTTTATTTTGTTCTTCTCATTGTTCCTTAAATGAAAATGGGAATTTATGACTCCGTGAAAACTAAGGGAGAAGGAAAAAGAGAACATGACAGTGTGATTAACAAGGTATAGGAGAATGGAGTGATGTCTGGTAGTGTCAGGAAAGCAAGATAGTTCAGCAGAAATGTCAAGCATAACAAAGTAAATGTTTCAGGAGTTTTGTATGAGAAGTTCAATGCTGATCAAAAAAGTCTGCAAAGATTGTATAGGCATGTCATTTTGTTCTTAAATGAGAAACTGGAGATTAACAAAGCCCCAGTGATGTAAAACTGGCTGGCAGAAGTCAAAAGCCATTTGGATCTTATGCTTGGGAGTAATTTTTTGACTGTTCAGTAACCAGATAAGTGTGTCTCATGAGGCGGTTGTTTCTTCTGACTCTCTCAGTACTTT